CTTCTTCCCCACACAGAGAGAGACACCAGCTGTGTAAAGGAGCGACTGACAAGTACTTCTGAGCACCGGCTGTGTGCTGGGCTCTATTCTACGGGTAGGGGACATAGCAGGTCTCTGCCCTCAGAGTACCTATGGTCTAGTAAGACTGACAAGCAGACAAGTAAAGACACAAATAGGAGAGAGAATTCGAGACTGTGACAAGTGCACTGAAAGAAGTAACAGGGCGAGGTGGTGTGGGAAGGCCCTTCTGAGGAAGCAGCATGTGAGCCAGAGACCTGCTGGCTGAGAAGGAGGCCACCACAGTAAGAGCCAGGAGAAGAATGTTTCAGCAGAGGGAAGAGCACGTACAAAGGCCCTGAGGTGAGAAGAACCTTAGCCTGTTTGAAAAACAGAAAGGAGACCAGTGTAGTGAGTAAGGGTATGTATTCGTTTCCTATTGCTGCTGTAACAAATTTCTGCAAACTTAGTGGCTTAAAACAGCACAAATTTACCACCTCACATCCATTAGGATGGCTACTATCAAAAAAAAAAAAAAAAGGAAACAAGTATGGATGAGGATGTGGCAAAACTGGAACGCTTGCACATTGTGGGTAGGAATGTAAAATAGTACAGCTGCTGTGGAAAACAGTATGGCAGTTCCTCAAAAAATTAAAAATAGAACTACCATATGATTCCGCTATTCCGCTTCTGTATATATACCCAACAAAGTGCACAGCAGGATCTCAAAGGGATATTTGTACATCCATGTTCTTAGCGGCATCATTTACAGCAGCCAAAAGGTGGAAGCAACCCAAGTGGCCCTCCACGGATGAATGGATAAAGGCAATGTGGTTTATCCATACAATGGATTATTAAGCAGCCTTAAAAAGGAAGGCAATTCTGACACATGCTACAACACAGATGAACCTTAAAGACATTGTTAAGTAAAATAAATCAATCACAAAAAGACAATGATGTATGATGCCACTTATATAACGCCTCCAGGCTAGTCAAATTCATAGAAACAGAAAACAGAATGGTGATTGCCAGGGGCTGAGGGAGTGGGGAATGGGGAAGTTTTGTTTAACGGGTATAGAGTTTCAGTTTTACAAGATGAAAAGAGTTCCAGAGATGGACGGTGGTGATGGTGGCACAACCTTATGAATGTTCTTAACGCCACTGAACTGTACACTTAAAAATGGTTAAGATGGTAGATGTTATGCGTATTTTCCAAAAATAAAAAAATCGGGGGAATCCCCCCTCACAAATTGATAATATTACAGTTCTGGAGGTTAGAAGTCCAAAATGCGCGCTGGCCCCGTGGCCAAGTGGTTAAGTTCACGCGCTCCGCTTGGGCGGCCCAGGGTTTTGCTGGTTCGGATCCTGGGTGTGGACATGGCACCGCTCGTCAGGCCACGCTAAGGCAGTGTCCCACATGCCACAACTAGAAGGACCCACAACTAAAAAAAATGTACAACTACATACTGGGGTGGGGGGATTGAAGGGGAAACAAAAGAAGATTGGCAACAGATGTTAGCTCAGGTGCCAATCTTTAAAAAAAGAAGAAGAAGTCCAAAATGAATTTTACAGGGCTAAAATCAAGGTGTTCACAGAGCTCTAGTCCTTCTAGATGGTCTAGGGAAGAATCTGTTTCCTTGTCTTTTCCAGCATCTAGAGGCTGCCTCATTCCTTGGCTGGTGGCCCTTGCCTCCATCTTCAAAGCACAGAGCTCCAACCTCTGCTTCTGTCATCACATCATCTTCCCTCCCTCTCACCCTCCTGGCTCCTTAAAAGGACTCTCATGATTCCATTGTACCCACTCAGATAATCCAGGATAATCTCCCCATCTCAAGACCCTTAACAATCACACCTGCAAACTCCCTTTTGCTACATAAGGTAACATATACGTAGGTTCCGGGCATTAGGACATGGACATCTTTGGGGGCCACTATTCCGTCTCCCACAGGGAGTGTAGGGTGATGAGATGAGGAAGATTAGCATGGAACAGAACACGCGGGATGGACCCAGGCTCATAAATTGTAACAAGAGCAGCAACACCTTCTGAGTTACTTAAAAACAAAACAAAACAACAACAACAACAAAACCCTACCTTCTGGGCAAAGAATGGGTTGGAGGTAGAGCTTGTCAACTGAAATAAAGAGTCTGGGTGATATTAGCAAAGGAGTTTATTCAATAATCAGCCTCAGAAATTTAACCCTGGGAAAGAAGTTCAACAGAGTGCTCCGATGGAACTGCTGCGAGGGATGTGAGTTCAAGTGCAGCTAATATCTCTTTCACAAACGGTGCATGTGCAGGGAAAAGGAAAAAGAACTTACAACCAGATATCCTACATGTCCAAAAAGGGAGAGGGCATATCTGGGTTTTCCTCTAGATTATACATTGAAGGTAACGTAAACAAGAATTCCTTGGTTCTACATCAAACAAGTTCAGAGATGCTGAGGTTATCTATGAGTGGAGGGAGGCAAGGACCAGGGTCATTATTTATTCCCTCAATCTCCAAGAAATGCAGCTGTGGATGCAGGAGCTGGGTACCCTTTATCTCTTCCTGTTGCGGATGTCTCCAGCTGACGTCTTCCGAATGAGGCATGGTGTTGCAAGGTCATTCAGACACAGGCTGAAGATGGCCTGCATAGCTGCTGCACAGGACAGCGTGGATTTTATTGTACTGACTTCAAGCCTATGCAGTTTGCTTGCTAGATTCGGCTGTTGGACCAGGGAGAGGGGTCTCAAAAATCTGTCCAGAGGATGACAGTATTTGCTCATGGATTTGATCTCGAAATGTCCATACCATTGTGTGTGCACTCCCTGGGAAGTTACCTGTCCCCCAGATTCCAAGTCTGGCACGTGGAGAATCAGACACTCCCCAAGTAGGAAGAGGACGCCTGGTAAAACTGTAGAGTGGTGTCTCCGGGTAACATATTTGAGGCTGGAAATCTCTTTGTGGATCAAGGGTGAAGCAAATAGGACAAAGGTGATTCATAGTCCAGCGGTGCCATATCCCCATGCCCGCCTGCTGAAGAAGACTCTGCTTTGCTCATTCCAGTTCTCTATCCCCTGAGCTTAAGAGAGGGTTTTAGGGTTTTTTGGAGGCATAATTGGAAAAAATGAAGAAAGGGAAGCAGAATCAAAGACGGGAGACCATTAGGTGCTCTCTGCATTAGAGTATTAGAGTACACGGTCCTTGGCTGCAGGCTCTGTGAAGCCACCACAGTGCTCACTCTGCAGGGAGAGCAAATTCAATTATCCACGACCCTCTGGTAAATAGAAAATGTATCAACACTCCATATGCATTTGTGTTTGTTTATGGAGCCTTAGAATTAAGGATCCAAAGAGACTTTAAAAGGCATCTACTTCCACCTCCAACCTATGCTCGAATATCTCTTCAATATTCTCATCAAGTCACCAGATAGCCTCTGCTTGCACACTTCTAGTATCAGGGAGATCACCACCCATCAAGGTTCCGTGGATGAACAACCCAAACTGTCAGAAAGTTCTTTCTTAAGTCAAGTGTGTCTTCCTGTCATTTCCGTCTTTTTGCCTCAGCTCTCCCCTTGGGGGTCACACAGAGTAGATCTACTGCCTCTCCTCAAGAAAAGCCCTTCAGACAGGTACAGCCAGGGGCCAGGACCCCGGAAGCTTCTTCAGGGAAGTCTCTGTGGTCCCTTTAATTGTTTCTCATCAGACATGATTTGAAGTCCCCTCTCCCCCTCCCAATCCTGGTCACTTTTTGTTGGACAAGCTCCAATTTTCTAGATCCTTTTTCAAAGAGTGTATCTGCAAGTAGACCCAGAACTCCTGGCATGGCCTGACTGGCACAGGGGAGATGAGACCACCACCCCGTTCCTCTCTCCAAGGCCCAGACTTCTGTTCCAGCAGCCCAAGTTCCCATTTGCTATTTTTGGCAGCGCCACCTCATTCCTGATTCATTCCTTGCTTCCTGTTGAGTAAAACCCTAATTAATTTTCGTGTCCACTGCTGCATCATAAGCCACATTAGTTTAAATGTGCGCAGTATTCATTTAAATATGTCCCATTGCTTTATATTCAGATCTGAAAAATTATGTGGTTATATTTCAGCACTAAACAGAAGAGTTCAAAAGAATCTCAGGTTCTCTTCCAGAGGTTCACGGGGACACAGGCACTGGCAGAACTACAGAGAGGAGGTCCGAGAACAATCTGAATGTCCAGCACAGAGAGTGAAGCATTTTTTGTTTGTCAGTAGTCTGTGCGGCCTCAAGTCAAATTTACATACAGGGAGTAGTAGGCACTATATTAGAGGGAAATAGTGAAAGGGGCAGAAAATTGGGACCTAGCAAAACCCGATTCGAATCCTAGTCCTACCACTTCCCACTGGTGGCCTTGGGCAAGTTTCCCCACCTTCTGGAGCATCTATAATAGGGGAAACAATATTCCAATTGTCTACCTTAAACAGCTGTCCTTTCGCAAGGCACTTTTCAAATTCGAAATGCGGAAATAGACCTTGATTATTAAGGTGAATACACATTCCTAACACTTTGCTGCCTTCAATAGAGTCCCTTCCTCGTCTCCCGCCCCTTCCTCTCCGATCCAGCCACCGAAGGCTGCCCCAGCTGGACCCAGCCAAATCCAGGTCACAGCAGCGAGGGGGTGGACCAGAGTTCTAATTCTGTCTTTGCCATTTAACTGAACTACCCAGGGACCTCCCCAGACCTCAGTTTCCTCATCGGTATAATGGGGATCAACACAGATAGTGGAGGTGTGTGTGTGTGAACGGGCTCCGTAAACCGCAAGGCACAATCAGCATTAGGTATCTACAGCGGAGACGATGAAATCCAAGCCCTACTCGCTAGAGCGGCACCCACCCGGGACGCCGGGGGACCCAAGGACGAGCTGCCAGGAGCCGCGGGGCCGATCCTTCCCCGCCTACGCGCGGGGGAGGGTGATCAGCGCGACCGCATTGGGCAGCTCGCCGCGGGGCGGGGCCTCGGGGAGGCGGGGCTTCCGGCCGCCGCCTCCGCTGTTGCCAGGGGAGACAGCCGCAGGGAGGCGGAAGGAGCCGAGGACCGGCGGGTGGCGAGCGGGCGCGGGAGCCGGCGCCAGAGCGATGGCGGCCATGGCGGTCTCGGAGCCCGGGCTTCGCAGCTGGTCCCTGTGCCCCGAGGTGCCGTCCGCCACCTTCTTCACCGCGCTGCTCTCGCTGCTGGTGTCCGGGCCCCGCCTGTTCCTGCTGCAGCCGCCCCTGGCGCCCTCGGGCCTCTCGCTGCGGTCCGAGGCCCTGCGCAACTGGCAAGGTGAGCAGGGGCGGGGCCGGGGTGCTAGCCCTCTTTCTCCGACCTCGCCGGGCCCCGGGCTCCGGACCCCCAGTACCCGCGCCATCAGGCCTCGCCCCCAACCTTTCCGTCCATCGTTCTCCCCATCCGGAGGACCAGCCCCATAGTCCACGTCTTTGTCTCTCCAGAGCCCCGTCGTCGTCGTCACCGTAATCCTTCCCCACCCGAATTTGTTCCCTTCCCTGTCTCCACACAAGGCCCCCACATCCATTCGCTAGCGAACTGGTTTCGTTCACCCATGCTCACTCTCCAAGGAGAAGGATTTTTGTTCTCCCCCTCCCTTGTCACAAACACACCCACGTCTGCTTTAGGGCCTAACCCCCACTGGAAAAAATTTCTCGCGCCTTCGTGAAGACGCTTAAGCTTTATCTGTAGTTCCCCCTCTAAGCATCTTAGGGTTTAGAATTTCTTCTGCTTCCTCGGTTGGTATCTTAATCCTGACTCCGATTCCCAGCTCATGGGAGGAGGGGGTATCTTGTGCCTTTGGGAGAGGTGTTTGTTTTCTCAGGGAGAGAAATTTTACAGATCGATTAAGTATAAATATCTGCTCATAAAAGACATTCCTAGTCTCTGTTTCTTCCCCATTTTCTGGGGAAGAAAATGGGAAATTTGTATAGCTCTTGCTGTTTTGCAAAGCACACTCACCTGCTTTAATCTCATTCAGTTCTCACGATGATCCCATGACGTAGGCTTTGTTATTGCCCATTATTTAGATGAAAGTGAAGCTTAATGCGAAGAGTCTCAGAGCTGTTCAGTCATACAATTGGACGGGAACCCAGATTTTTCTTTTTATTGTGTGATGTTTTGAAACTGGAGCCTTGGGGTATGTAATCCCCGAATCATGTAGAGTTGCTGCTAGAGTCTTCACATTTATACTTGGAATTTTGGTTTTGGAAGTACTCAACAAGTGGTCGAGTACTCTCAGACAATGAAGGCTTATAGAGATGGCCTGACTGAGTATATGGTTCACAGCCTGCCTCCCTGCTCAAATCTAAAACTCCCCCCACCCCCGTACACACAGCACATCTGTCCTCATAGACAGATGCAAATGCCAGCCTAAACTGAGCTCTCTTTTTTTTTTTCTTACTTCACAGCTTCTCTGAGTGTGGGGTTCATGGGCATGTGAGTATCGGACTCATAAGAGACCTTTGAAGGCCTCAAGTGTAGTCCTCTTACTTTACAAGGAGGAGACTGAAGCCGACAGGGCTGGTGGCTTGCTTGAGCTCAGCCAGCTTGGACGTAAGAGGGCCAGGAATCCCCTCCAAGCCTTGAGGCTCTCAGGTCCAGTGTAACTGCTGCTTCACTGGTCCATCTCCTTCAGTTTAGTGTTTTGACCTGCAGGGATGTAAAAGTACGTAAGAGATGACTGCTTCTAGAAAAATAGAAATGAGAGTGTTTGCTGTCTTACTCCACGGAAACATCGCTCTACCTGTAAGAGTGGATGAGCACTTTCAAGGAAGACTTCTGAGTTCTATATCGATATTATTAGTGATAGTTTTGTAATCTTTATAGGCGCAAAATAATTCATGGTCCCTTTTTTCTTCCTCTGAACAGCCACTATGGAAGGAGAGGTCAGGATTACAGCCGAGGAGACTGGCACAAAGAGTGTTAAGTGACACCCACTCAGTCCACCCTGAAGCTGTTACAATTAATTAACCCTCAAACTGTCTGGTGAGATAGGTCAGTATTAAAACCAAAAAAAGGGTTGTAAAGCACATTGTAAATTCAAAGACCATCCCATGCTAAAAAGTGTTATTTTTTTCCCATATGGAAGCCAGTCACTGATAAGACTTGCTCCAGGTCCGGGAAAGACCAAGAGTTAGATATTCACACCTCTACTTTGAGTCCTGGGTCCTTCATTGTTGCCTCCCACTGCTTGTCATGGCTCCTGACTGATTTTCACTGGCACTGAGAGCCAGCGACTGCCCCCTTCCTAGGTGGGTTGTAACCTGGCTTTCCCTCCTTGGAGCAGCCCACCATCAGGCCTCTAACGCAGCTCCCTCTGCAGTTTACAGGCTGGTGACCTACATCTTTGTCTATGAGAATCCAGTCTCCCTGCTCTGTGGTGCTATCATCATCTGGCGCTTTGCTGGCAATTTTGAGAGAACCGTGGGCACTGTCCGCCACTGCTTCTTCACCGTGATCTTCGCCATCTTCTCCGCTATCATCTTCCTGTCGTTTGAAGCTGTGTCATCACTGTCAAAGCTGGGGGAGGTGGAGGATGCCAGAGGTTTCACTCCAGTGGCTTTTGCCATGCTGGGAGTCAACTCTGTCCGCTCTCGGGTGAGGAGGGCCCTGGTGTTTGGCATGGTCGTGCCCTCAATGCTGGTGCCGTGGCTCCTGCTGTGTGCCTCCTGGCTCATTCCCCAGACCTCTTTCCTCAGTAATGTCTGTGGACTTGGAATTGGGCTAACGTGTATCCTTTCTAGAAGGGAATTGTAGAAGGATAACGTGCCAAAGGGTAAACCAAGTTGGAGGGTCTCAGGAGTGAAGTAGACAGAGCTGTGGGCTCAGATGTAGGTTATCTGGGTTCTAGCTTCCGCTTTGAAAACCACGTGGCCTTGGGCTGGTCATTTCCCTTCTCTAGGCCAGAATTTCCTCATATGGAAAGTGTCAACAGAGCTATTTCCTCATGTCAGCTTAGCACTGTCAGTTAGTGAAATATTCTGATTTGGTTTTTTTCCTTGCAGACTGAGTTGTAAACCTACATTTGACTAATTATGATAAGAATTTTCCTTGGAAGAATGTGAAGTACCCATGAACTGGAGATGTTCCATGAAAGGAATAGGAAACATGTTTGTTTATTCGTTTTTGTTTGATTTAGTCATTTTCTCAGAAAAAAAAATTTTTTAAGATAGGCTCTTACCATATGGGTGGTTAAAAGCTTAGGCTAAGCCTTACATCCCTTGTATAAATATTCTGGCAATGAGGGGGTGGGAATTCTAAAATACAATGTGGGTTACTTTTTAAACGTCAGAATTGATAATGTTGGGGGTTGGACAAGGTACGTTCCTAAAATCTCTTTCAATTTGTGATTCTGTAAGCTATTAGAGTAGGTAGTGTGTAAATATACATTGATAACATTGCTCTTATTTATCTTATTTTTCAATTTTGATTTCGTTTATTTTAAACCTTTTTTTCTACTATGAAAATTTAAAACTATAAACTCGTCTGTAAGTACTACTTTAGTTGCATCCCACAAATTTTATAAGTTGTGTTTTCATTATCACTCAGTTAAAAGTATTTTCTAGTTTTCCTTGGGATTTCTTCTTTGATACAAGGGTTATTTATAAATGAGTTGCTTAATTTGTAAGTGTGTGGTGACTTACCAGATTTCTTTTTGTCATTGATTTCTAATTTCAATTCAAGTGTCAAAGAACATTCTTTGTAAGACTGCAGTCTTTTTACGTTGTTTCTGGCGCAGTATTGGTATATCTTGGTGAATGTTCTGTGTGTAGTTGGAGAGAATGTGCCTTCTGCAGCTCATAGGTATAATGTTTAACATATGTCAGTTAGGTCAAGGTGTTGATGTATTCAAGCCTTATAACTTGCTCTATCAATTACTGAGAGGACTGTCAAGATCTCCAGCGAAAATTGTGGATTTGTCTATTTTTTCCTTTCAGTTCTTCTCAGTGTTTACTTCAGGTGTTTGGAACCTCTGTTATTGGATGCATACACATTTAGGATTGTTATGTCATCTTAATGAATTCACCCTTTATCGTTATGAAATTGCCCCTTTTACTCTGATAATAGTCTTTGCCCTAAAGTCTTCATTGTCTGATATTAATATAGTTACTCCAGCTTTCTTAAAATTAGGATTTACATGGTATATATTTTTCCATTCTTGTGTTTTTAACATGTTTGTGTCTTTATATTTAAAGCATATTGCTGGTAGGTGGCATATAGTTGGTCCTTCAATCTGGCAATCTCTGCCTTGTAAATGGCATGTTTAGCCCATTTACATTTAGTGTAATTATTGATATGGTTGAAGTTAAGTCTCCCAGCTTGCTGTTTGTTTTTAATTTGTCCCACATGTTCTTTGTTCCTTTTTATCTCCTTTCCTGCCTTCAGTTTGCATGTTTTTTTAGTATTTCATTTTATCTTCTCTGTTTGCTTATTAACTGTTCCTCTTTGTTTTATTTTGTAGTGGTTGCTGTAGAGTTTATAATATGCATTTTTAGTTTATCACAGACAACTTTCAGATAATATAACACTTTGTATATAATGTAAGAATCTCGTAGCATTGTTTTTCCATTTTTCTTCTTTCCATCCTTTGTGTTATTGTTGTCATACATTGTATTTTCACATATATTTTAAGCCTCACAATACATTGCTATTACTTTTGTCTTAAACAGTCAATTATATGTTTTTTAATTAAAAAGCAACATTTACCCACATATTTACCATTTCTAGTTCTACTCTTTCTTTTGTGTAGATCCAAGTTTCCATCTGGTATCATTTTCCTAAAGCCTGAAGAACTTTCTTTAGCATTTCTTGTACAGTGGGTATGCTGGTGTCAACTTCTCTCAGTTTTTGGTTCCCTGAAAATGCCTTTATTTCACTAAATAGAGAATTCTAGCCTTCTGTGATCTCCTTTCACTTTTAAAGATGTCATTGCATTACTTCTACTTTATGTTGTTTCTAATGAGAAATCACTAGTTGTTTTTATTGTTTCCCATTATTTATTGTTTTTCTCTGGCTCCTTTCACAATTTTTTCTTTATCATTGGTTTTCAGCTATTTAATTGTCATGTGCCTTAGGCTGGTTTTCTTTGTGTTTACCTTGCTTGGAGTTCATTGATCTTGAATCTGTAAGTTTAGTTTTTATTGAATCTGAAAAAGCAATTGTCATTATTTCTTTGAGTATTTTTTCTATTCTCTTTTTCTCTTCTTCTTTTAGGATGCTAGTTACACATATGTTAGACTACTCGATATTCTTCAGTGGGTCACTGAGGCTCTCTTTATGTTTTATTTTTTAGCTTCTTTCTCCTCTGCATTTCAGTTTGTATAATTTCTATCACACTGCCTTCAAGTTCAATGATCTTTCCTTCTGCAGTGTCTGCTCTGCTGTTAAACCCATCCAGTTTTTTATTTCTCATGTATGTTTTAGCTCAAGAGGTTCCATTTGGTTCTTTTTTATAGTTTTCATTTCCGTATTGAGATTCTTTATCTGTTCCTTCATGATGTTTGTGTTTTCCTTTAAACACGTATACTTACACCTTTATAATAGCTGTTTTAAATTACTTCTCTATTGAAGCCATCATCTCTCTCATTTCTGGATCTGTTTCTTTTGACCATTTTCTTCCTGATTATAGACCACGTTTTCTTGTTTTGTCACTTGTCTTGTAATTTTTTATTTGATGCTAGACATTGTGAATTCTGTGTTATTGAGGGCTGAGTTTTTTTGTTTTCACTTAAAGAGTGTTTTGGGTGTGTGTGTGATACGCAGTTAATGTACTTGTTAAGGCATTGCCTTTTTGGAGGTCTCTTCTGAAGGCCCCGGGTGTTCAGTGAGGTCTCTTTACTCTGTCTGGTTAGAATGTGAGTGTGTCGCTCCCCTGAGTGAGCTCCAGTAGTTGTTAGGCTTACAGCTCCCTGATAGTTGTTATTTCCTAAGTAGCTATTCTTTGCTAGGCTTGAGGAGTCTCCCCCTACGTGTGTGCATGTTAGTATTCAGCCAAAGTCTCAGAACCCCTGTGCACATTTCTGGAGCTCCTTCTCTGAGCAGCTCACTCTTCTCCATTACTCTGACCTGTAAATCCCAGGCACTTTTGCCTCTCTGAATTCTGTCTCTCCAGCTCAGCAAAAAATGCTATATACTCTGCTTCGATTCCCCTTCCTGTGCTGTAGTTAGGAAAGTGCCTCCAGGCAGAAACCCAGCTTGATCTTGAGGCTCAGTTCATTTGTTTCCCTTTTCTTAGGTATCACAGTCTGGCAGTGTTTGTTGTCCAATATTTATAAAATATTATAGTTAGTTATGGTGGGAGGACTAGTCTAGAATTATTACTTCTTCGGAATCAGAATCAGAACATATTCTTGAGCTCATTCTGAAGTCATCAGCCGTGACAACTTTTGACTTCCTTATAGCATTGGGTATCACCTGGAATCAACATTTGGAAATATACTGCCCTCCCTGAAAGAATTTAGAAATATGCAGGGGCATCTTTGGTTATCTCATGACTAATGAGATGCTACTGCCATTTAGTGGCTGGTGGCCAGGTGCTAAATGTCCCACAATGAGTGACACAGTCTAGACTAGCAAAGAATTGTCTTGCTAAAATGCCAGTAGCATTCCAGTTGGGAACACTGCTTCCAGGAACAGCTTTCTCTTGCGCTTCCCTACAGCCTTCTCTCCACCACCACTCCCCTTCCAGCTGTTGCTATTCACAAGGTAGGTTCAGCGTACACACCACTTCCTTAGATAAAGAAAGCCTTCTCACTCTCCCTAAACTAGGTTAGGATCCCCAACATGGTCTTCCATAGATAAGCTTTTGCTTATCCCCACTTATTCTACCCCAGTTACTGATTCCTTGTCTGGAACTTATTACTCATTCCTTAGTTTCTGGTATACACTAGATGTTCTATAGATATTTGTTGGAAGGATGGATGGACGGATGCAGGCTGAATCTTTGACTTCTTAGGCGGTGGTGGGTTGACACAAGTCAGATGACCAGAGTGCCATCACGTCATGGGGGCTCGTGACACTGTGAGACTAATGCTGCCAGAGCGGCCCTCATGAAGCTCATTTGGCCACATTGAGGCAAAGTGCCTTCTATTTGGGACAAAAAGTGCAAAATGATGTCAGTCCTCCTGAGAAGGTATTAGGACAGCCTCCTGCCTCATCCCACTGCAAGGACCAAGGTGTGTGCTGCCTCATGACTGTGCTTGCAGGGATTAGAGCAGCTCAGGAGAGAGGCTGGGTTGGCATGGGGGAAGGTGAAGTGTTAGCACCTCTCTGCCCTTCCCTCTTGCTGGGTCATATTCCCTCTGAGGTACGGTGGATGGAAACTCAACTCTTGGTTTCCCCTGAGCTTGAAGCTTCAGTCCGAGTTTCTGTGGAAGGAGCGCCAGTGGCCCTGCAGAATAAATGGGGGACTTGTGTTCTGTGGGGAGTGTTCAGCCCTCCCTTTGACTGCCTCCAGTTTCCCTTAACGTGCCGACCTCAGATGGCCTCACGTACTGCTATTCCATCGACCTCTCAGAGCGAGTGGCACTGAAGCTAGACCAGAAGTTCCCCTTTAGCCTGATGAGGAGGATTTCGGTGTTCAAGTACGTCTCGGGCTCTTCAGCGGAAAGAAGGGCAGCCCACAGCCGCAAGTAAGTTCCGGAACTCTTAAATCTTATTCTTAAAGTGCTTTTAGGGCCTGTAGAGGCTGTGACTGGTTCGGTGTCATCGGGGAAAAGAGTAGGGTTTGGGCAGCCCTGGGCCCGGAAAATCTATGTGCAGATGTCTTCTGAGCACTCTAGATTCTGCCCACCTGCATGTGGAGTAGGCACCGAGCAGGAATGGGAGAGGGAAGGCATCTGAAGCACTTGTGCGTAATCCTGAGTGACTTGTGGCAGACTGGGAGCGAGTGGCCCTGTGCCGCGTCCTTCTGGCCCTCAGCACTGACAGGCACTCCGTGCACATCAGATTGGGCTCCGGCCTGTGGCACTGGTAAGCAGCACAGACAGGGCACACGGCTGACCAAGTGCCTTGGGAAGTGGCACAGCTGGGCCTGAGAGAGCGGTTTGCTTGGCCACCCAGCAAGAGGAGGTGAGGTTTACTGTTTTCCAGTCCAGGCTCAATAACTCTCAATGGAAAGTGCTAGGCACGTGGCCTCATGTAGCCTCACTCCTTCCTTTTAGAGAGGAGGCCCAACGAGGACAAGAGTCCTTCTCCAGGTAACAGAGAAGCAGGAGAGCCCAGTCTCGAACCAAGTCTCCTGCTTCCATGTCCTCCCCACTCCCTGTCCACTGTTCCACACTGCCGGCCTCTCATGTCCTTCCCTGGTTTTTGTCCATGCTGAGGCTCCACAGCGAAGGAGGTTTTCTTTTCTTCACCAGTCCGTCCCAGAGAAAGGACTCGCTGTGAAGTCAGGGTGCTCTCAGCGGCCCTTTGGCCTGCAGCCAGCGGTGGAGTCAGTGCTGCCCTCCGAGCTGGCCTGCATGCAGGGTTTTGGTTGAATTGGATGTTGCTCCTTGTAGCCAATTTCAGCTGGTGGGTGCTCCCAGCCCTCACTGGCTCAGGCCCTTTGACCCTTTCTCAAGGCAGGGACGGGTACTGGGAAAATAGACATGCGGACTCACCCATTGTGCCTTGGGCCGGTCCTTCCTAGAGGCTAAATGTGTGGGAGGCGGTTTAGTTTAGAATTAGTGTAGTGTGGCCTTTTGGCTTTTCATTGTTCTCACAGAATCTAGAGAGGACGTAAGGGGTCCACAGATGCAAACTCCCACCCTGTGAAGGAAACCCCTCTAAAACAGCCGAGGGTGGTCACCTGGCCTTAATTCACCCCCGCTGGTGATGGGCCTCACTCTCCAGGGGGCCCCTGCTGAGAAAGTTCTTCCACACTGAGTGCGGTCGCCTCTGTGTAACTGAGACATGTGGTACCACGTCTGATCCTGCTTCACCATAACATGCAGATGTAGGGGTAGGTGATGGCCCTCTCAGTTCCTTCCGTGTTCCTCACGTGGTGTGGTGTTCAAGCCCTCGTTATCCTGGCCCGCTCAAGGCACTTGGAACAGAACATGATGTTCCAGAAGGCCTGAGGACAGGCCACAGGCAGTGTTACAACACATGTTTGTTTTGTTGATTGACAGGCTATCTGGACAGCTTCAATTCCCTGGAGGCTCTTGTCGAGCTTCTGGGTAAGCCCAAACCTCTATGTTTTTAAAAATCCCCGGAGCGCTGTTAGAGTGTCCTGTATATGTACTTAAGCAGCTGATTTGTAAGGTCAGATTTTGATTGAAAGCTATACAGGGTCAGTCCAGTCAGCCAACAGAAACATCAGTGGTGTTCACTCATTCTCCATATTTGGAACTTTGCACAAAAGTTCGGAGGATAAACCCTTAGAATGTGTCTCCATTCATAGTTTTAGTCACATGTGTCTGTGGTGGGATCTTTAACCTCAGCACAGGCAGCCCCCCAACGTCTGTCGTGTCGGCTCCTGCCAGCCAGGACTTGGAGCTGTGACTCTTCATTCCTGAAGTCACAGGTAGAAAGTCTCACCGTGGTCACAGCCTGGGCCCAAGCCCTGTGTTATGCCACTAGGGCCCCTGCCCTCGCACCCACAGAGGTGGATCCATTCTCATTGGGTAGAATTGCTGAGCCAGCCACCAACACACTGACGCTGTGACCTGGTCCCCATTGCCCCCTCCAGGTTACAAACTGCTGTGTGTAGGTTCCACGTCAGGTGGTCTGCTGCTGGCCGGGGGGTGGGCCCTGCGCTCTCTGGGCATCTGTTTTCTGTTCAGTTGAGATTAGCCTTTTTCCCCACTTGATCCTTACAGCTTGTTCCAGAAAATGCCCAAAGCGTGTTGTAACATAAAGCAGTACAGCGACCCCAAGCTTTTCTCATGTGGAACGACAGCTGGGGGTGCTGTGCCTTGGCATGACTAGCTGAATGACCGTTTTCTCTCCTGTTCCTTTCCAGGCTGAACCCTGTACCTGGCTCCTACCCTTCGCAGAGTGGCCACCCTCACCTGACCCCGAGCCACCCTGTCGCCCAGATGCAGCATGCCAGTGGCCAGAAACTAGCCTCCTGGCCAGCCTGTGCTCCTGGGCACATGCCCAGCCTGCCTCCATACCAGCCTGCCTCCGGCCTGTGTTACGTGCAGAACCACTTTGGCACAGTCCCTAACTCCTCTGGTGTCTACCCGGCTTCTGCGGGTGCCTCCCTGGGGGTCCAGCCCCCCGCCCCCCTCAACTGCCCTGGCACAGTGTATTCTGGGGCCCTGGCCGCTCCAGCGGCTGCAGGCTCCAAGGAGTGCTCGAGAGTCCTGATCCCCTGACAGGGAGTTTCCAGGGCAGCTGTCTCACGTCTTGGCCTTCTGAAGAAGGTCCTCTCTGAGCTAAGATTTTCTTGACAGTTATTTATTGAACACCTCTGTGTGCCAGGCTCTGTCTTGAGTATTTTGATATGTGTCCCTATTTCAGTCTCATTCATCCTCACGATGCCTTTGTGAAGTACCGTTTATTGCCCCAGTTTACAGATGCAGAAAGCGAGGCACTCTGATTACATAATGTCAGGTAGCCCTGTGGTGGCACAGCTGGAGTTCTTGGAGAGCTCTTCCCACCCGCTGTCCTGCCCCTCAGAGGACACCTGGGAGAAGAGGACTTTGGTTGTCAGTGGCTGCCAGTAGTTAATTCCAGCTCTGTACTTCCTTCCTGCCATTGTGCATAATGCTCTTGGTTATATAGTGTCGGCGTGTCTGTGTCTGCCCTTCAGGAGCTCCAGCTGGTGTGCTCAGCAGTCCCCAGGCCTGTGTAGTGTTTCTCCCCCGCAGTGACCTCCCCACCTGGACTTCTGCCCCAGAAGCGGTGAGACGGGCCCCTGTGAGCCACAGCAGCATGCTGATGGGTCCTTAGTGTTGATGACCTTTGTATAAAGAAACAGCGTCGAACCTGCCCTCGGTGTGTGGTCTCTCTGTGGTCTGGCTGGGGAGTGAAGAGAGTGTCATTTGGGCAGTGGTGATGCGGAGTGTGTTGGCCAAGAGGAGAGGTGTGTCAGGGTTGAGTCGGGCAAACGGCCTCCGCCCAGTGGGGATCTGACGTGGGGAGTGAGGCGCACAGATGCTGAGCTGAAAGGGCAACAGGAAGCTGTGGCAGCCCTGAGATGGGCAGCAGCAGGAAGCCACCACTGCCCCTAGGGAACAGGGCTATTCCCAGAGCTCCAAGCTGGTCCCGCCACGAGAAGGGCTGCCTGGCAGGACATTATACCAAGGAGTGGCACGGGTGCTGGCAGCAATGGCACCTGAGGCAAGGGTTAGGGAGAAGGTCTCTGGCTCCCTCTGCCTGTCATCTGATCAACCGCCGTCTTCCACTGGCCAAACGAACCAGAAGCCCAGTGGCAAGTGAGCCCAGGAAATGGAGCTTGGGGAGGTTGGCCCCCCTGATGGAGGGCAGGACAAGGATGGGAATGTGACTGAGCCGACAGGCACCTGACCAGCCTGAGGAGAGCTCATGCCTTTTGATCAGCCATCGGCTGGAAGTCCTCACAGTGGGCTCACGTCGAGAGAGCACGCCAACTTGCAGGTGTTTTCACAGACATCCCAACACACGGCCTTCACTTGCTCCAGTAGCTGGATGGCCTACTCTGGGCTGGCTTTTTGATGGGTCTTGGGTATTAAAGGTGACTAAGACACACAATCTCCCCAGCCTGGGGCGGGTGGGGCAGTGACAGGCCCAGTGGGGTGGGGGATGAGGCTTAGAGAGTGACTCCTGAGCTGGATTTTGAAGCAGGATTTGCCAGCCACAGAGCTGGGGGCCCAATCTGCAGCTGAGATTCATCTTCAGTCACAGAACAAGTCTGGGAGGGCCTGGCCTGGGGTCTCTGACCACAGCCACACCTGGCACCTCTCCTATATTGTCACTTGGTGAGCATAGGCTGCTGTGTCTCCCTTAGACATTTTCCCTTCACTCCAGTCCCAGGCCTCTACCCAGAAACAGGTGAGAGGGCTACCCACTCCCAGTGTGGCAGAGTCATGTCCCTTGTGTCTGGCCTCCCTGCGTGGGCTGTCTGGCCGGAGCTGCAGAGGCCATGGGCTGTGGGGATGGTCAGGCTGGTAGGCCCTCTGCCAGGTCCCTGAGTAGCAGAGCCATGAGGGGCCTCCGGGGGTTCAGTCCAGTCATCTCCTCCACCCCTGTTTCACTAACGGGGTACCAGGGAGGCAGGAGGGGTCTGGCAGGGCAGCCAGGAGCAGCTCCTGACTCGGGTATCTGCAGCAACTGCCGCTCTGACACTGGTGAGTCTTATTCTGGTGGTTCCTCTGGACTTTCCTTGGTCTGGCCGTAGCTGGCAGCCTGGAGCCAGGTCAGAGGGGGATGCTTCTCCCCACAAGAGGCGTGTTAGAGGACATGGAGGGGATCCCAAGCCCTCCCCCATTTGCCTGTCAATCATCCACTAGTGTGTCCCACTGAGTGTGTGCCAAGCCTCAGGCTGGGGCTAGGGACTGAGATGAAAGTATGCTTCAGGAGCACAGAGAACTCCAACACAGGGCTGGCGCTCAATAAATATTTGCTAATGAATGAATGAACAGGTGATGCCTGCCCTTGGGGAGCTCAGTCTAGGGGGAAAATGGAGAAATAAAGAATTGTAATTTAGCAATGCTTTTCAGGGGCTCAGAGTGTTGCCACCCAAGGGGCATTGTCTGCTTGCTGCAAGACATGCCAATAGGAGGCAAGGTGCTAGGAGAGAAAGGGTTTTTTATTACAGCTTGCTAGCAAGAGGGAAGATGGCCGACTTATGTCTGAAAGAACCATCTTATAGAACAAAGACTTACAGGCCAGTTATACATGGGGCTGGTCTCCAAGTGAGGGAGGTGGCTGGTCCGAGTGGGACCTCCATCTGATCTGCCAGTGGGGAAAGACATCTGGTCTTAGTTCCTGTTAGTCTTTTGTTTTACTGGATATGCATCAGGGACCCTGGGATGCCCTATGCCCTGATCTTTCAGTTGTCATTGATGATGGCTGTCAGCACAGACTCTGCCCCGGGTCATCACATTCCTAAAGAACTCAAAAGAACAAAGTTAGCAACTTATAGCAGCTGGAAGAGACCATAAAACCCACAAGAGCCTGTAAATCCCTCAAAGACAGACCCTTACTTATCTGGGCAAATTAAAGCAAAGATTCAAAGGGGCTGGTGAGCCTGGGTTAGTTAATCAGAAGTCATTCAAAGGTACAGTATGGTTTCTTTTCTACAGTATGGCTTCCCTTATGTCAACCTTGTGTTGAGCAGGTATCAAGAGGAGGCCCCAGCCCAGTTAAGAGACTTGGAAAGCTGGGGATCAGTCTGACACCAAACACAAACCCTTCAGCGGAGAGAGAGGGGCTTTGGTGAAGGGGCAGAGGGAGGCACTAACCATGTCCTCTGGCAGTTGTCAGGAGAATGAAGAGTATGGCACATTCAGCATAAAGGAAAGTCATGTCCTGCATGCCAGAAACTTTGCTCCTATCCCCAGGCAAGACAGGACCTACTGCAGCCAAAGAAGCTTCCAGACTTTGTCCAGTTTCCCTGCTTCATCAGCAGGGGGCAGCAGAGAAGCCGAGTGGTACCATGGCAGCGTCTACAAACCTTCCCTGGGGCAGGCTGTGCTCCCCAGCCTTGGAGGTACAGGAGGAAAAAGGTCCCCTCCTGTCCTCCGTGGAACACACCTGTCCTCCCAGGGACACACATCCTGTGAGGAAGTCAGATTTGCAGATAACTGATGCAGACTTAGTGAGCCAAGGAGTTGAAAGAAAGGTTTCTTGGACTCTCAAGGTCTGGAGGTAGTGCTCCTTTATTCAGAGAATTGCATGGAGTAGCATGGGGACAGGACCCATGGGCAGTGAACTGCAATGGGTTGAGGGCAGGGCTAAATTTATAAGGCATAGGTATGTGAGTTATTTCTTTACAAGACAAGGGAAAGATCATGTGAAAAACCATTAAAATGGTATTAGTGCAGGTGGGGTGTGGTTATCAGGTTGTCCTATAACTTTGGATATGAATCAGGTTGGATCAGGTCAGGATGGCCTATGCTTCCCAGAGGATACTATAGATCAGTATGTAGGCCAGGACGCCTTGGGCTTCTCTCCCTGGGACAGCCTTGATTCTCATCAATAACCACAACACAAGACAATGACTGCCAGTAAACTCAACCCTGTGGGGCTTTGTTCCTTCACATACCTGTTCACTCATTCCCTCTCTCATTTAACAAACACTTTGTGAGCCAGTGCAAGGCTCTAGGGATGTGAAGATGGAAAGAAGTGGCCCTGTCTTGGATGCACTCATAGTTCATTCAGGGAGACATGCTATGTGGAGTGAGAGGGAGAGAGGAGACCACCTGGGAGGGTCAGAGAAGGGACTTCAGGAGGAGGAGAGTTAATCATGCAAGGACAGGGCAAGGAGGGCAGAGAGTGACAGCGTGAGCAAAGACAGGAAGATAGGGTGAGTAGCGGGGTGGAAAATGTGAGCATGGAGGCTGGGAGGGCCGGTAGGAAAGAGATGGTTGCAGTAGCCCAAGCTGGAAGTGCTGAGAGCCAGGCCAGAGGCCCTGGCAGTGCACTCTAGAAATGGAGCTCAGAGCACAAGGCGACTTTGTGGGGTCACACCAAGCATGTGGCCAAGCTGAGAGTGTGCACACAGCTTTCCCACTTAAGTCCAGTCTCCTGTCCTGCCTGAAGGTGCCTGCTGCTCTCAGTGAGTGGACGAGGGCCCAGAGTAGGGTTGGAGGCAGGACAATCCTATAGGATGAGGTTCCCCGAATCATGGAGTGTGTGGAAGAGGAGAGCTAGCTTCAGAGTTGGGTTCTGGACCCTTGGGCTCCTGAGGCCCACAGAGGCATCTCCTCTGGCCTCTATCCCAAGATGTTTCCCGAGCTCTGATATGCTGGTGCATGCCTGGACAACTGCCAGCTGCAAGAGCAGCACCCCGACTTGGACCTGCAGCTTGGCTCCTAAGGGCCCTCCATATCATCTCCAGATCACAGGATGCCTGAGACCTTGCTCCATGGTTCTGTTTTGAGCCTAGAGCCCCTCCCCAAGAAAGGTCTCCAAAGGCTTGCCTGCCAACCCTGCTCTTGAGCTATGGCCAGAACCTTCCAAGGCTTTCTCCTTAATGGAGCTCCTCCTCCTGGGGGCCTAGCTACAGCCCCCCAGGCACCAAGGGCCAGGTGGGCTGCCCAGTGAAGTGGCTCTAGGATAGCTCAGGGCTTCCCAGTGCCCAGGGCAGTTGGAACCCTGCAGGGTCTGTTTGTGTGCACACATACACACCCACACCCTACACAGGCACATATAAACACATGACATTTTGAACTCACAAGTCTGGGCCCTCACCCACACTTCAAGTTCAAACAGGTAGATGCTGTAGGGGAGGAAGAATTATTCCTCTACCTTCTAGGTCTTTCTGGCTTGTCTAGGAATTAAATTGACATGAGACAGAATAACAGGAGAAATAACAGGAGAAAATCAAAGTTTAATAGCATGTATACATGGAAGAGACACAGGAACACTGAGTAACTCACCAAAATGGCCAAAGCCACCACCTTAAATTCCATCTTCAGCTAAAGACAAAGGAGGATATTGGGGGTAGTGGTTTGGGACTTCAAAGGAGATGAAGGCAATTTATATGGAGATGGAAAAGCAAGCGTTTGATAAACAAATGTTTCCTGAGCCATCTGTAGACAACAAGATCTGAAAGAGAACTCTGATAAAAATGGGCTCAGCAAGGATCCTCCCAGTCTATTCTACCCAAAGTTATCTATGGTGATAACTCCTTCCAGGGACAGGCCTTCTACCTTAAATTCTTTTAGGGAGTTGAGGAAAGGTCAAAGTTTCTTTCAGAGTCTTTTGCCCTTAAAAATAATCAAGCCAAAGAGACACATTTTCGCATAGCTAATTCTGATCCTCCCGCCTTTGAAGCTTGAAGAAGTT